CATGTTACAGGATGGGTTGTAACATCTCGTGTCGTCCCTGCTGCTGTTGTTGCATTCCTTGTTTGTGCTGTGACTGTTGTGAACCTGAACGTCCCAGGGTGGTGCATCATCACCATGTAACCACGGTACCAGTGGGACAGCCGCAAATCATTATAAATCAACAACCACCTCCTTATAGGTAGTTTAAGTATCATAAACGTTTGCGCAGATGATGGACAGCCCTCGATGTACATTTTTGCCCGTATAAGTATTCTAAATATTACTTGATAATTCCTAACGAAAATATAGTTATTGGCCATTGTTTAATTATATACTATTTAAATTTAATCTAAAACTTTAATGATCGACATAATTTAAACTTTAATGCCATTCATAGTAAAGACGACCTTTTCATTATTTGCAATTTTTCAATTATTTTCAATGGTTCTGAATAGTACTTTAAAAAATACACTGTAAAAACAAGTAATAATTATTAATTAAATCTTGCACATAATTATACCACTAAAATTTTTGCAACTATTTACTTCATGTTTTACTTTTGACGGTTTTAAACACCTTTTGTCATTACAATAAAAAAAAAAAACTTCTGATAGTTCAATAAGCATATTAGTGGATTATTAATGTTCAATATTATAGCACTTAAAAAAAAAACTTTGATGAATATTGGAAATAGTATTTGAATACTAATAAATAATTCAAACGTTGCTAGATTTTGATATATAATGATAAAGTACAATATTGTGTCAAAATAAAACAAACTAATTCAAAATAAGATTCCAGTGGGTTCCAGTTCTTTCCCCTTTAAGCGTTGTTGCACGTAATTTAATTTTGTTCATTCCATTATAAATGTAATAATTATGTGCAACAATGCACTAAGTCCATTAAAGTGCTTGGCTTACTTACACAAAAAATAAATATTTATTACTAGCAAAATGTCACACGTCTGCGCAGGCGTACTTTATAAACCAATTTGTAAAAATATTATAATATAATTTATAATAAAATTTCAGATAAATAAATAAATAATGCAATGATATATATAATTATTCTATTTTGTAATTACTTAAAATACCAGGGTATATAGAGTCTTTAAACTTTTTCATTACTCGTAAAATGAATGAACTGATATAAATTTATTTTCTTATAGCTTACTAATTTGGAATTTATAGCCTAAAATAACCACTTGATTCAAGGCTGGTTTACTTCATTAAAACCACAAATCATTCTCCGTAAGTGCTTCACCACCACATTGTTGTATGTTATGCTTAGTTATAGTATGAGTTTTAGTAATTAAAATTAGGAATTAGAGTGTAGTAAACAAGGACCGTTTGTTGTAGCTAATAGATATTTCATTATAAAAAAATATTATAAGTGTCGATATCACCTTCAAATCAATAAATATATTGTTATATATACAACCACTATACTTAACCTTTTAAAAGTTAAATACATTTAAAAAAATAAATAGTGGTTGTTTATATTTATAAACGCAATTTGTATACAGTTCACAAGGTTTTTTACAATAAATAAAAATAATTATTTCATAAACAAAGATCTGATCTACTAACTGGAAATTTTAAAGAAGTTAATGATCTTTCAAGCACCGAAATACATATCAATTATTATAAAACTTTCGTCTAATGAATTTATACTGGTATATTCGTAAAAATTACCACTGTATGGTTTTTTACTATTAAACTGGACGTTTTCCTGAATATTTTTGAGCCTTCCATACTAATTTGATGACTGAACAAAAAAAGTGTTAATACGGGAGCTCAAAATTCTGTCTCAATTTAAATGCCTTTTACTCACAATGAGGTATTAGAGTGAAATAGTTATCCCACATCGGCAAAATTACTCCATGATGAATGTCACAAATAAAAAAAAAAGTATTTTAGCGCAAACCCATTGATTCGTCACATACATACGATAAAGCTTAAACTGTCAGGACCAAGTATCGAATTTTAATTAAATGATATATAAAAAAATCTATATTCTGGTACTTATTGATATACTTGTCATATTTAGATAGTAATTATCTGTACCGTTAGATATAAGAAACAGTATTTCGAATATAAAATACGAAAATAAAAATTTAAATTTTTCTAATTGTAATAGTCAAATCTCGAGTCATCATCATCATATTAGCCGTTAACTGACCTCTACTGAACATAGGTTTCCACCTTAAGGGGGAGTTTATTATTATGGTCATCAAGTCTCGAGTAGTTGACTATATTAGCCAGCATATATATTTTTGTGTATAGATAAATATAATCTTCATAATCTTACATTATGAACGAAAAGTATGCTGCATTTACATCTCTTCATAATGTATTACGTGGAGATATACCTACTAGATATAAATAATAAAATCCAAAGAGGTAATTATATAAAAAATAATGTACTTATGATATACAATATATATATATATATATATATATATATATATATATATATATATATATATATATATATATATATACTACTATACGTACTACTATACGTATAATATGCGCAACATATCCATGTTAGAAATACAAATACTTAGAACCTTTCAAGGTCTATTCATAAAACTTGAAAATGAACAGGTTCAATAATTTGTTATCTTCACATAGGTAGGTAAGATTCAATATTTTCATGGTAATTCAACAGAAATCCGTGCATACCTCTGTATCTATTTATCTCTTTGATATCGGATTAAAATGCAAATATTTGAAATTTTCTTGAATTTATAATTTCTTATTGTTACAAATATTTTTACTGGTTAATTTATCACTAGAATTACTTAGTAAGATAATGCGATCATTATTAATTCAAATAATGATCGTTATATATGTAACTATAATTATTCTGTTTCTTTGTATATTTCATAAATTTTATTCCTTTTATTTGTGTTTTATTACTCCTTATTATAAAGCATATTAAAATACCTGTAATACCTATAATACCTAAATGTTATATTTTAGAGTTTCATCCAAACAAGAATAAAAAAACCTAAACTTTAAACCGAATTCAAAAAGCAGGAGGTTCTAAATTCGGTTCCATTTTTTATGTTTGTTACCTCACAACTCCGTCAGTTGTAAACCCATTCAAAATATGCTTTTTTATCTGAAAAAATATACTTACAAATTAAGTGCATAGAAATTATATCAAAATCGGTTTAGTAGTTTAGTTTTTAAATTACAATAACTGGTTTTGCCAAAATTAAATTCGGTTTGTGGAATACGGTATTAATTATCGCTATTGGATATAATATATCTTGTAATATGAATTAAATTTGATGTACGATAAGAAATGTTTTTTGGTTTATATGCATATAAACCAAAAAACATAGGTGGCAAAAATATGGATTTAAACAAATGCCACTACAACTGTATAAATTTTGTATGTCAATTTTACTACTTCTAAGTGAAGGAGTCTGTGGTAACATAGAGTAGGAGTAAAATTCGACCGTCCGACATAAAAATTTATTTTGATAAAATTTTGAAAATTTAAAAATCTAAATAAATTCCCTTTTGGTCCTTGCATAGAATAGACCACCCCTTCCTTTCTGTGGGTGTCGTAAGAATCGACTAAGAGAGGGCGAGGGATGGGCAGCAGCGTTCCTCTTAAAACATCTCTAAAGTCTAACTGCGGTTGCCAACCCGCCTGCCATGCGCGGCAACTACTGGCAAAACCCTCTACGGGGGAGGCTTATGTTCAGCAGTGGACAGTCAAATATATTTTACGTTACAGATAATTATTTTCAAATGATTTTAGTGTAGGAGCTGTTTGCTAATAAATCAAATTGTTTTATTTATAAAAGCAAGTACGTATGAAATGTTTTGTTTCCATAGGCTCATCAAACACAAAATTAGAATATTCGCGTCATAAAGACAAATATTGTTCTTATGGTTTGGCCTTGTATTATCTACTTGTCAAGATGTCATAGATTTTAAAGAGAAACAAGCTCTTATGGCGAAGCGAAGAGTTAATAATGTAGAACAATTTTTATTATTGATGAAATATGAAATTGAAATTGATTTTTTTTAACAAGAACTACGTATTTTAAAGAAAAAAAAACAAAAACCTTTGTCATCTTTTATTAAAACATTTTCAATGTTTTTTTTTATGCTCTATTGGTTTAACGGACAATAAGCTTCGTAGCCTTGTTGTAATAAATTTATATACCGCTTAATACATAAGAAACTTCTCGCCGGAATAGACGTTTACATTTAGATAATGCGAAAATATTTATTGAATTGTGATAAAGTCTTATAAGAGCTCGGACATTAAAATATAAAGCTATACTTATGTTAAAATAATTCACTATACTTATCTATTATGTAGATAATTTTTTGTCTTACATTTATCAAACAAATAAGAAGGATAATCTTATAAACCAAAGGAGTCGGTAAGTCTGTCTATATTGCCCACTTTTATATGGTTAACTTTTCCATTAACGGTGTCGATACATATGACTAAAATTGAAAAACAAAACTGACTAACGTGTTTGAAATAATGAATTATATTACGTTTTATTTGAAATCATGTAATTTGTGTATTGATATTGTTAGTCCAATCCAGTGCCTAAAAATTTTATAGATAATACCTTAATATCTGTTATTTGACTTTCGAATCTCAGTTATTAAATTCTAATAATGATTAGGATAATAGTAATTGATTTTATACTTTGATCATCAGCTCTTATTGTACTAGGTTGTATTTAAAATATTTCTATTTTTATTGATGTTTACAGAATTATGGGTCTTAAAGTAACTGTCAGGCCATTCTGTTGTTGCTGCATTCCATGCATATGTTGCAATTGTGTTTATGAGAGTGATGATAATGTCAATACACCACGAGAGGAAGCGGTCGTATTCAACCGACCGATAAGTGACCCTCCACCTCCTTATTCCGCACCAACGGCATCGGCAATGACATCGTATCTACCACCATACACTGAAAAAGAAGCGAAGAACCAAACGCATACAAATAGTTCTTAAAATTAGGGTAAGTCCTAGAACATACGTTAATAATTTTACTTTAAATAATTGGAAGATATAACCATGGTTATCTAATGTCTAATATTTTTTATCATCCGTGGATGTCGTAAAGGGCAAACATAAGACTCTTGAAAGAAAATTCAACATCAAACTACCTGGTTTTGGTAGCTGTGGCTGGCTGGCTTGGTGTCCCATTTTTGTGATGATATACTCATACTTAGCAGATTAAATACCATTAATTAGCAATCACGGCCTTCCTGATTGTAAGGGTAGGTTGTAGATAAAATAATATGTCAACAAAATATTCCGAATGGGATTAAACAAAAAATCTTAGATGGACCTAATATAACGTACTTACGTATGAAGTTATAAGTAAAGACATTCTCAATAAAAAATATTCAATCTGCTGAGTCAGGATTGATGTTGTTTTTACGTGATTAAAAACTACAAAAATTGGAAGATTCTTAATTCATCTATCACTCACACATATACAATTATTCATCATTTGTGTATATTTACGTTACGTGCTATATTCGTAATTTTTTATTATAATAATAATACATGAATATTTATAATTGCAATGTTGAAAATTGTTTTAGGTATATGAACAAGCTATTGAAACACAAACTAGTCATGCTTTATATTTTGTATGAGTAACATGAATGTAAGGTGATATATATTAACGTCATAAGGAAAAGATAACTGTATACTATTGTATGTAGATAACAATAACATATACCTACATATTTGTTATTAAGTTATACATAACGCCCGCCAAGCAAAATATTAAGACGCTTGAAGAGGGATACTTAATAATAATAATAAATCAACGAGATAATCAAAATTGTTATTATAAAACGGTTCTTTTCTTGATATGCCTTCAGTACATACTTTATATATGACAAATAATGAAACGAACAGCGATACGATATATGACAAAGTGTGAAACAATCTGATAAATTTATCTTATCTTACCTACATACCCATAAATTGCAATTTGTGGGTTTTCGGCTGTTATTGGATAAATAGATACTTAAATTCAATATTATACATAGTGTTAAATTAATTGTTAGAGGAACAGAGTCGTATACATATACGACTCAGTTATTGCAGGTATGGTTACTAATTCATTTCTTTCGTTATTAAAAATTAACTTTAATATTAACTGACTTTTGTGAAGAATTATGATATTATACCAATTAGATAAAATGTTAAATTCGTATTTATAATATATTCTACTTGTTAATAAATGTGAAATAAATAATAGTAGCTACAAGATAACATGAAAGTTATAAGTATTTTATAATTAGGTCCATCCTCAATTGACTATTGATTTTTATAATAAATTCACTTATGTTTTATTGCCATGATCACATGGTAAGCAATAAATTGTGATAACTCATATCGTTATCTATTATTCTTGCTTGATTCTGTAAATAAATACTGTTTAGGATTATGAACGTTGCCAATAAAGTTAAATAAGAATATTTATGAATATTATGAATGTAAAAAAGAGTTTGTTAATTTTCAGTGCTTTTCTATGCAACTTAGAATGGCAAACAAGTTGACGGCCCACCTGATGGAAAGGGATAACCGTCGTCTATAGACATGAGCAGTACCATGGACATAACAGAGTATATTGTTTCGCTCATGATACCCCCCATGCGTTGCCATTCCTGAGGACTCAGGTGTTATTCCTCGGTACTCTGTAAATTCACTGCCATATCTCACCTTTCAAACCGAAACACAGCCATGCAAATGCTTCACGGTAGAAACACGAATGGGACTGAGGTGCCCAAGCTAACGACTTATGTACAAAGTCTCCCTCTGTAGTACTAAACCAATTATCATGAAAGTTTTAAATTTCATTATAATTTTAAATATTTGATAAATACGTATGAGGATTATATTTATCTATCTTCACGTCTATCCCTCACGGTGGAGGTAACTATACGAAAGCTCTCTCTCCCTATACTTACGTATACATATTACTTTTTCATGCATTTTTGTAACTTGTCTCATGCATGCACGCTGTTCCGGAGACTTGATTATTGTCTTAGAAAATGTTACTTAACTTTATTTTATATTTACAACAAAACAAATAATTTCATGATAACATAAAAAATTAAAGAAAAATTCGAGTTTGAAGGCGAACTCCTGATCATTATCGCTATTGATGATGTGAAGGAGAAGCGATCTATTTAAAGTTACATTAGCCATATAAAAGAACGGATAATAATTGCAAAGAAATATTTGATTATCTTAATCACAAAATAAATAAAAATGGCAAATTCTCAAAAGATTTCTTTAATAATCTGTTATTCACGATTATCAGATGTGATGGATACGACTAAAAAGTGGAAAAAGTTTGTTACGCGTAACATTTTAAATAAAGCTTCACTAATATTCACAATTCACAATTGATTAACAGGAATTTAGTTAATTTACTATATTTGTTCATTCCAATAATTTTTTCGACTTTATCCGGAAGTCTTCACGGTGAGTGCGGTGTTTATGGTACGTTACAGCGTCTCGCCTCGCTGTTTGCCGGAAACGATAAAGTTTTAAGGTTATTAATCAATTAGTTATAGAAATGAATGAATGAATGAGTATACTTTATTTGCATTATACAATATAGGAAATAAGCAAGGCAATTTACAAGAAATGTATAGAAAATAAAACTAAATTATATATAAACTTATTACCAAAGTTTCCTATGACCTATCAGATCTATATATTGTTTGTCAGTGACATCCGCAGTAGAATTTAGATAAAATACATTCAAAGATATTGAAATGATAACTGAAATCGTGAAATAAAGTAAATTTAAATCGGTGAATTTTCCTCATCCACCAATTATACTTCGATACCTAAAGATTGACAAAGGTAAATCGTATCGTAAATTAGATATAAGTTTTCCTTGATATGAGTCAGTTAATTGTGTTTAATGATGCCGGTGAGTGTTGAAATTTGGAATACATTCCACTGTATAGTGGATACAATTTTATTATACCATGAAGTTGGCAAACAAGCATACAATCTATCTAATGGTAAACAGTTACTGAAGAAGAAACCATAACATGCCCTTTTTGAAAAATTCTATACTATTGTCTCTAGGGAAAATTAGGAAGCTCATGTCACAGCCCGGGCGTTCACGGAAGAAAACGACTTTCAAAACGCACTGTACTTAACAATTTAGGTTTAAGCGTGTGAGGATGAATTTTAAGGGGAACTAGGATAAAAAGGGGTTATTATTAATGCAATGACTACTGAAAAGATTTGAACAAAATTTTGTGCACGGATAGGTTATATCTCAACTTACAATATAGGATATACTTTATTTATTATTTTTTGTGGGAGAAGCCTCCAGTTACTTTTAATCTTTATATAATGTTTTTATATGTATATGTGAGAACATTTGAATTAAAAAATTTGCGCATACGATCATTATGTACATATATTAGGTATATAAAAAACTTGTAACTTTTATATTTCTAGATTAAATCATGGGCCTATGCTGCAGTTGTTTCTGTGATGATGGAGGAGGCGTTAATGTAGTGGAACAACCCCAGGGACCTGGCTTTGGTGGACCAGACTCAGTTATGGTGGTAGAAGATGCTCCTGGTGGAAATCCATTGGCTAGATAATGAACAATGCGATCAGAAATAGAAATGTGTTCAATTCGGTAGAATTGAAACTTCATTTCGTAAATTAATTAGGAATAAATTTGCGGACATATTTGTAATTTTATTTTTAGAATTGTTATTTGTCCGTTAAAACAAGTACATATTTTTATATAATTTTATATAACATTAAAGTTACATTTTTATTGTAATGTGTACTTATTAATTAAAAATTAAATGAAGTACCTAACTACCTATATTTAATTATGTAATCCTTACTTATGAATGTGAAAGCGTGTTAGTTTGTTTATTTGTAACCTAAGAAAAAGTTATAGGTTACTTTTATCTTGGACAGGGAACATATTCCGGTCACGTTAACGAAGTCACGGGTAAAAGGTAGTCTTAACATAATTCCATGTTTCATTCTGATCATAACCTATGAAACAGTGTATATGCCTAAGCAATTTATATATGGCTAAACTATTTTTAATTATAACTTAAGAGCTAAGTATAATGAGTTACATTTTAGTACTAGAATCACAAATTTACATATATAATGTATATAACCGTACAATTTCACTAATAAGTATTCAAATTTCGCATCGACCCCAGACTCTCGACTATTATAATCTCGATATAATTTTAGCCTCTCTGTTATACTATTAAAGAAAACCTCAAGAAATTTTTAATATTATTATTTATTTCTAATATTTTAAATGTAAAAGTGAATTTATGTATTAGTCTTTCGACGTGTCTCAATCACGAAAATTAAGTCGCGTCTTTTCACTAGGTTAGTAAAAGTATAAATTTGTAGGCATAGTAAAAATATATATTTTAATAATCACTTCTTATATTATAAAGAATCATATTATCATGCTATAATTAGCTTAAAACAAAAAGAAAATCAAATTTATAAAATAATAGAAAAATATTTCAAATCTTTAAAATACTTAGGATGTTGGTAACAATATCTTTTATTTAATAATTAAATTCAAATACAAAATAATATAGGTATTGCTTTTTAATTGAAAGTAATTATAAATTCAATGATTAGCCTAGCCGACAATTTTACATAAAACTTCATACGTTTTGTATGAAATTTCTTTTCCTCCGAATGAAATGTAGGCGCAGTTGTGACTAGGATGTACCTGTGGAAAGACAAAGGAGAGTATTATATATTTAAATCGTATTCAAGGAATTATTGTTACTGGATATCATTATCATCATCATACTAGCCTTGACTGTCTATTACTGAACATAGACCTCTCCCATAAACTGCCTTTGTCATTAGGGTATTTTGCCCGCAGTTACCATGCATGGCAGGCGGATAAGCAACCGCAGTTAAGATTTTGTGATGTTTTACCTAAAAGGGACGCTGCTAACCACTCCTCGATCATTAAGTACTGGATGTATTGGATATAAATATACAATTTCATGAGATCATGTTGTATAGAACCATAATGGTTTTAATCTATATAAATTAAAATTAATTGTGGAAAGTATTTGGCTAAATCTTTTTTTATTATGTTTGTAATTGTCAAGATAAAATTTTTATGAAATAAAATGTTTGTCGTAGTCTTAGTTTCATCGTTAGGACGTCTGTGCGAAGCTGGGCAGGCAGCTAGTCAAACAAGTCTGGTAGTCAGTCAAGTGTCAGTAGAATAAGAGCTTTGTATTGAAATTAGCGACTAAATTTAGCTTCACACGGTTTTTTTTTAATAAAATACAGCCGATATTACTCACTGGTAATGTAACATTCTATAAGTGATTTTTATTTAAATCTGTAAGACTTTTTTGAATTTATCTTTTATAAACAAAAAAAATATTATTCATTTTTTTCTAATATTAGATTAGGTAGATTAAATATTTAATACCTACTATTTAATTTACATATATAATTACAGTGCACATTAATTGATAAAACTTTATAAACGTTTGTTAAGTGAGACAAACTATGAACAATCAGATTCTCGCTTAATTTCTTTAATTATTTAATATCGGCTAATGACAAAGAAATGTATTTTCTAAAACTCACTTTGCCAGGGGTAAGGGAGTTCAAATGCTTTACTCTGGCGATGTACAGGGGTTCACCATTGTGAGTGTTGCCTGCAGGGATGGCCCCAGGGGGTACCTGGCCGTGACCGGATGTGAGCCAGCGCACAGCATGAGGCTTAGCACATAATACCTGAAATAATAAAATGTATTTATTTAAAAAAATATATTTTGAATTATATTATCTAGACCCCAAATAATTGGACTAAAGGCAAAAATATGTTGAAGCCTTTTACACAATGTGGAAATGATATCTATTGGTACAATCATTTCGGTCAGCGCTTACATGAAGAACAAAACAACGCACATTCTTATTCTATTTCATGGGCTCGCTAGCAATAACGATTCTATCTAACAAGCAGTTTCTTTTAATTCTGTCGTTAAAAATATAAGTAACGTTAATGATAAAAAAGTTGCACTTAAGTTATTCTACAATATATGTTTTGTTAAATAAGTAAATGTCTAAATAAGTACGATGTGGAAGAATGAGTCGAGTAGAAGAAAATACTTCTGCCTTGGGAACGGAGATATGATTACGCTTCATCAGTCTACTCGTGACCACGGCCGATGTAATGTGGTCGAAACGTAGTTTATTAAATTTAATAACATTTACCTGAATATTCTCGATTATTCAGGTAAATTATCATAATTTATCTACATGATCGCTGATGATTCCCGAGCAAAGAAAATAAATACTCGTAATTATAAATACATCAAAATTATTAAAGTCGATGGACCGTTACTACCAATGCCTACAATATAACTATTTATAGCCATAATATGTTGCCCGATTTTTACTAAGATGACGAGACGAAAAGAGAAGAAAAAGAAGAGATGGTTTTAATTATTATTTAAACGTTAAATGGTTACCTCAAAATTATGAACTGGGACTTCCTTCCCCATATGAGGCACATACGCAGCCCGGTGCTTAATGGCTAATTTCCCTGGTATAAATTCTCCAGCATGGTGCGCTCTGATGACACAAAGTGGACTGCTGTCCCAGCCCTCTTTCCCTGCTACCAGTGCCTTATGTTGAAGGTCTCTGGCTGTGACCGTCGTAGCTTGTACCCAGTCAATATCACCTAGAAATTACAACCCAGTGGCATGAAATTGTATCTATTTTCATGAATATTTTTATATGCAACTTAGAATGGTCTTTTATAAAAACCGACAAATTCAAAATAATTACAGATTTTCTTATCAATACTACATCATACTTTTATAAACTTAATTGTAACCAACGCTCATGCTGATTACACTTTAACAATCACAAAAAATTGCATTTACGTCATATTTTACATCAAAAATCTTCAAATACTTTTTCGTCTTAAAATCAAAACTTGAAATCGCTTTGAGAGCATTTTTTATTAAAAATCAATCAGAAATATTAAAAATAGTTTTTTTAATGTCAGATCACTCCGAGATGCCCACACTTCGGTATGAGCGCTTTTAATCAATGACATGTTATATCCCGTTTTTTGGTGAAAGAAAGTCACTTAACGAGTTAGTTTGATATATAATACTTAAAATACTAACTTTCAACGTGATAGACGACATTTACTGGATCAGCTGGTGGTTGTTGATAAATGTTCGTGACGTAGGTCGCATTTGGTGGCGGCTGAGGTACGGGTGTCGCTTGAGGCGGATATCCTGGACCGTATACCGGAGTTTGTATGTAAGTAACCGTCCCAGGTGGCGCATATGAACCGGGGGGCGGTTGTTGACCGGGATATACGCCATAAGGTGCCCCTGGTGGTGGGTCTGAAAATTCAAATATTAATTAAATATCATTTTAGATCATTTATATTTTGTTATAAATCGATGCCTCGTCTTAAGTATGTAAGTTGGACTCAAGGAAGAGAGGGGCTGTTAGTAATTAAGACTATAATGACCTCATAATTCGTATCAAATAAATTTCTTATGTTAGTAACAATAAATAATTCCTGAATATTTTTAAATATCACCTATGAGTATGTACAATATGCCTGTATGTACTTGGTTTCTATCTTATCTTTTAATGTTGACAGTATTTATTTTGTAAGGGCACTATTATTAAAGAATCTCTCTTTCGACTTAGTGCGGCGTCGCACTTTCAATATAAGAAATTGCCTAGTTCAAACAATATCTTCTGCAGCTGTAACATGTCATGAGAATAAATAAAAACTAAGACTCGAGACTTCAGATAAAACCGCTTTGCATTGATACGACGATACAAGTACTACAGTTAAATTTGCGGGAACAGGAGTCACTACAAGAACAGAATAATTATATTTATCAAATAAAAGATAGATAAATGAAACTAATATATTACAATTTTTTTCAAGTAGTTTTCATGTAAGAGTTTATGGGGAATAGGATTGTTAGTAATAGAGTCTAAGGTACATTGCTAGCAATAGGACCACCATTGCAATAAATATACCTTATCGAGTCAGTTTTCAAGCAGGACTTCCAAACCATGGTGCTTTGAAACCATGGTGTATGTATACTGGTTAAACTCTTATGAAGGAACATCTCACCTGAATTCTTCCATACATATAATCACTTAGTGGTTACGTGTAACAGTAATTTCATTTTAATTCCATTTTAATAAGTAGTACCTATACCTAAGATAATTCGAGGTAAGCTAATCAGTGTAGATAAAAGTACATGTAGATAATAATATATAGATAACACAGAGTAGATATTGTTTTTTTTTTTCTTTTTGTTAATACATAGACTTTCAAAAGGTCCGATAAATGAAAATTATATTTGTAAGATCGTATATTATTATTCAATACTAGCTGCATTCCGCGACTTTACAGACGTGTATTAGTATATAAAGTATTATATATGCTATATTAGGATATAATTTATGCGTATACAAAATTTCATTCAAAACTGTTCATTAGTTTCTACGTGAAAGAGTAACAAATATCCATACATCCATCGTTGCAAACTTTCACATTTATAATTTTAATAGGATTTCATTACTTGTTATTACATTTATTTTTTGTTACCTTTTGCTGCTTTAACAGCTAAATCAATTGTTAAGAATTTAGTATACACATATCACTTGGAATTAACAAGGACGTGTCTTAGTTGAGGTCGCCAGTAAAAACTAATCATTAATATACTTATTAAATATAATATATGACAACGCCATGTTTCATAAAAAAAAAAAAAACATTTCTTACTACAATTTTAATTTTTATGTGGAACTAACAGTATATTAAATAAATCATATTATACTCACATGACATGATTAAATTGTTGAACTAAGTACTTTTTTAAATTAAACAAAATATTGATATAGATATATACTCAATAACAGAATTGATATACACGGCTTCACTGATATATTTGTGTCAGCTTTACAATTTATTATATTTCATGATTCATATCTATGGAACTTTCTACTTGGGTATAGGTAAGTGTGATTAGATAAAACTGATTATCGTTTTTTGTAATTTATCTTAACACGGCACGACACGGCACGATTTTATCGTCGTGATAGATTAAGAAACACACTTATAATTTTCTGTAGACGATAACGTTTTAGCAGCGTTTCGTTACGGACTTACCTACACGGTATATATTTTTATCATCATTACATTGTGTTTTTATATTTTATCATGATAATAAAATCGTGACATGCCGTCAATTAAGAACTGCCCATAATCCTTTTTTTCCGTGGCTTAATAAATAAATAACGTTATTGGATATGTTTATTACGCAGCGCCATCTATATCTCTATGTGTTTTAAACGAGAACAGAACAAAATTTTTGTTAGTCTTTTTGTGGAGTGAACCTTCTGTATCTGTGTAATGAGTTTACATTTTAAATACCTATGGTTAACTTTTTTTTGTAATTACATATTTTAAAAAAGCAGCAGTAGTTAATGATCTTCTGTTTTAATGAAAACAAACATACACATGAATACAAATGTTTGTATTGTCCGGGATCGAACATGCAATCACTAAATGGTAAAGCGGTGCATTTAGTCGCTAAAACACTAGAGTCACCAAATTGCCTTGTAATTTAAATTAAAAACCTTTCCACTGTGTCTCGTTCTTATTATTTTATGTAACATATATTTTAATTGCACAAATGGTAAACAAGCATACAACTCACTTCATTGTTAGTGATTGTCCCCGCAACAAACGTAACCCTCCAAATTTTTATACAGTACCTGAATTTTATATATAAATTAATGATCATAATTGTAAATCTAAATGTAACATTTAGTGTCATAAAACGAATTGTGCGTGTTGCACCTTTTAGATTTATTATTACTATTTTTTTAATATCTTTTTCTATTTTTGACAGTGTCTTATACTTAATGATGTTCCTTTCCATTTTGGATTTTCTAGAGGAGAACTCTTGTAGAGTTTACCTCATCTTTGTACATTTACTTATATCATAAATTTCATGTATTATTAGTGTGTACAATAAAGTATAAATAAATATATACTGTCTACTACAAACGACCGTCTTTTTATTTATATAAAATTATTAATTAGCCCATTCTTCGCACACCTACTTGTTAGAACTGCATGAACAGCGGATAGTCAACTGTTTTTTTTTTAGGTACTTCTGATATCTCTACAATGGGTGAAGATCTAGTATTTGGACGAAATTTATTTACTTATACTTATTTAAGTGTAAAAATTACTTTTTATGAAGTGCCTTATGAACAAAAGTAAAAAAAATAAATATTTTTCAATATTTTGTTGATAATATTTATGGAATACTAGCGATTCCCCCAAGCTTCGTATGGATGCTGTTGATTACAAAATATTGAACTTATCTGCTTACTAGTTTTTATCCCCAACTTCGTCCGCGTAACCGAGATGTATTTGTTTACAATAATCAAATGTTTTTCTCAATTTCAAGAGGTAACAAAGAAACAAGCTCACATTTTACATTTATGATATGAGTAAGTACACTAAACTTTAATTAAGATGTACCTATTTTACATATAAACTTTTAGTAATTTGGTAGTATTACTCATACTGAGCTTTTAATGAGAAATACCAATAAAATACCTATGGAACTCGGTTGCGCGGTTTAGAAGAACTAAGCGCAGAAGCAGACAACGATTTGTTTTTATACTATTTAAAAAAATAATATCAAATAGGTACTAAATAAATTGTCAGTACGAGTATATTTAAGTAAGTTTCAAATACTAATATTACCTACATTACGTGATTATTTTTCATAACAGTTCTAGAATACATCACAATTATATATTTTAATTCGTTAAAGGATTAAAATCTTGTCATGCCGACCTTCATGCGACTCCCCAGCCCGAAGCTTAGAGATTTACTAACGAAGTTACCACAATGGATCAACTTATTCGTAGTAACTTCTTATTATTTGATTTTTCACTGATGCACACATTCAATCTTCAATAATAAAAAAAAATAGCCCAGAAATAGTTTAATTTGTTACAATAGTGAATATTTAAAAATCTTGAATTATACTATAATAGATTCAAAGTACATGCACTGAAAAGTGGTAGATAAAAAATAGGTTTTAGATAACAAATATTAAAAATCTTATATTTAGGGTAAGTTTTATACACTGAAAATGCACGCGTCACGTATACAAACTTGATATAAACAAGTAACCTTTAGTGCTAATTCTTCTACTGTGGTAATACACGGACTGCGGACGGCGCTCAATCACGTGTTGCAGAATATGGCTTCCAAAATGAACGCAATGCTTAGTATTGGACGTGGCATCTAGTAGATTTGAAATTAAAATGTGCATAGAACTTCGTATGTTGCGTATGAAATTTCTTTCCCCCCAAATGAAATGTAGCAGCAGTTGTGATTGGGATGGACCTGGAAAAATAAAGATGATTTCGTTGTTTAAAATGCATTTATATAAATATACATAAGCTCCTTGCCGAGATTTTCCCAAGAAACTACAGCATGGAATTCTTCAAAGGACCCCTCCCCTTTGAAAAGAGGTTTCTTTGAGGTCGGCAACGCGCGCTTATTACCCCTGGTATTGCAGGCGTTTATAGGCTATGGTAACCGCTTACCATCAGGTGAATCATATACTTGTTTGCCACCTCAGTGGCATAAAAAAAGATATATCTATGTTAGATGGTTGGATATTGTTCCGGACCACCGCTCCCATAAAACTGTAAATAGATTTATAATTATTGTTACTTTACAAATAGAAATAGTTTATAGTTTTACTGTTAACAGTTTTCATAATTTGATAATGTTCGATACAATATTTCATATAGTTTATAGTCTTTTCTAACCGATAATTAATAGGAATAGTTTATATTTCGAAAACTCCCAGAAAACATGTGTATACATAATAGTAATTAATAGAATTGTTTGTAATTACATAAAATAGTTTATAGAATAAGAAATGTTCATAGAATAATCCATCCGGGGCATACCAGCCGACACTCCAGTGGAGGACATTGCCGACGCCCTGACGGAGCTGGGATACGTTCCTGAGTACATCCGTCAGATCAAAGCACGTCAGGGCCGCCCGGGGTGCATATTTCACGCACAGATCAAGCGGACCCCAGGCATCACCCCCGGCATATACGCTATTGATGAATTACTCTGCATGCCGGGGGTGAAAATCGAAGCCTGGCGGGGCAAGAACGGCCCCGCGCAATGCCACCGCTGCCAAAGTTTCAGGCATTCCTCCCATGGGTGTCACAGGAAGATGGCATGTGTCCGCTGCGGGGGTGAACACGTAGCCAGGGACTGCCCGCGGCCCAGAGAGGAGCCTCCGACCTGTGCAAACTGCGGAGAAAACCACACCGCTAACAACCCCGCCTGCCCTGTTTTCAAAAGAGAAATAAGAAACAGAAAGGCGGGCACGGCGCCCAGAACAACAGGCCAACTCGCCGGGCGAGATAGGACGCTCCCAGGCGGCACCAACGAATCCAACCTGATGGCCGCGGCAAACCCGGCTACAGAAAGAGGGAAACAGCTGCCTGAAAAACCCCGTAAAAAGAAGAGAGGCAAGAAGAAGAAGAAAGGGAAACGCAAAGACGCACCCACTGAGGCCGCGCCGACCAAGACACAGGCTTCGGCAAAAACAACCCGTCCGCTTGCGGTCGCCGCCCCCACTAAATACGAAACCGCCACACAAAAGGCCGCATCAAGCGCGGCGCCACAACACGAAAATGTCAAGGGGAAGATGGCGAAGCAGCCACTGGAATCCAGCACCTCCAACAACAACCACTTGATGAGGGCGATGATTAACATCTTGATGGAGGTGCTAGTCGCGGTACAAACCGGCGCAGACCCCTTGCCGGTAATAACCGCGGGCCTGGTGAAACTATCGCAGCTAACATGATAAGAATAGTTCACTGGAACGCGGACGGGATCCGCAAGAAGCTGCCCCTACTGAAACTGATGCTCGTGGAGTATAAAGTCGACGTGTGTCTCATCTCGGAGACGATGCTAGGGGCCGCCGACGCACTCCACATACCGGGATACCATGCATACCGCAAGGACGAGCTTACGGACGACCGAAGGGTGTATCGCGGGTTGGCTGTCCTAGTAAGGAGGAACATCGTCCACCAGCCGCTCCCACAGGTGCAACTTGGATAGATGTACGCACTTGGGATCGAGCTGTGCAACAATAGAAATCCCATCCGTGTGTTTGCAGTATACAAACCGCCGACAACGAAACTTGCAACGGCCGACGTCGAGGCCCTTTTCAAGGAGCCGCTGCCGACCATCGCCGCAGGAGATTGGAACTGTAAACACACGGCTTGGAACTCCAACATAATCAGCGCCGAAGGCAGAAAACTCCTGGGGATAGTAGAGAAACTAAATATCGCTGTGCATGGTCCAGAGGTACCTACACACTATCCCCACGACGCCACAAGAATACCCGACGTGCTCGACATTGCCCTCTACAAGGGACTGGACAGCCAACTGACGCAGGAAGTCCTCTCAGAGGACGTCCAATCCGACCACCTTCCCGTGTGCATGGATATCCTGATGACCCCGGTGCTCCTGACGCCGCAGGCCCCACGCCGCCGGACGGATTGGGGGAAATTCACGGACTTCATGCAGGACAACACGCCAACGAGGGCAATTTTAACCTCCGCCGACGTCGAACAGCTTGCGGGAGACCTGTCAGTCTCCATACAGGCCGCCATGCAAAACGCATCCCAGCCGGGAAAGGTAGCGAAAACAACTAATACCATCCCGGCTGCAATAAAGAGAAAGCTCGCCGTTAAGCGCCGACTGCGCAGAGACTGGCAGGCCACCAGATGCCCCACCACCAAAACGAGGTTAAACAAGCTTGCAGAAGAAATAAAGCGTGACATCGAGTCCCATACAAAGGAGAGTTGGGAAAGATACGTAGAGGAAGCCGGTGACGACTGGAACAGCATTCATCGCCTGTGTCGCCGGCTAACAAATTCCCACCCCCCAGTCCGACCCCTACTGGCGAACGACGGAACACCGAGGTACCGCGCAGTAGACCGAGCGGAGATTCACGCGGACCACCTAGAGCGCCAGTTCCAGCTCAATCCATCCTCAAATAGTGATCATGTTGCACGGATAGACAACTTCGTGAAGGAGTACCTATCATCGCCACTATCACCTCACGAAGATCCGATTGTCTTTACACCGGGACAAGTGCAGCGTGAAATCAGAAAGACGAAGCCTCGGAAAGCCCCCGGCAGCGACAACATCCCAAATACGGCGCTGCGTCACCTGCCGCCGCGCACTATAGCGGCACTGACGCGCCTTTACAATGGAATTGTACGCACAGGGCATTTCCCAGACCACTGGAAGATAGGCAAAGTCATCACGCTGCCTAAGCCCGGTAAGAACGTACTGAAACCGGAATCGTACCGGCCAGTGACGTTACTGCAACACATGTCAAAGGTGTTTGAGAAACTCCTCCTCAAACATTTACAACCACACTTAAAACCACGCCTGGAGCAGTTTGGATTTAGAGCGGAACACTCCACGACACTGCAACTGACCAGAGTCCTGCACGTCATAACGAGCGCCCACAATAAGCACGAGCACGTTATTGCAGTGTTACTGGACATGGAGAAAGCCTTCGACCGCGTGTGGCACAACGGTCTACTGTATAAAATGGCCACTCAGACCGAAACACCAAGAAGGTTGGTCCGAATAGTGGCCTCATTCCTCCACTCAAGACGCTTCATGGTGACGGTGGAACAAACCTGTTCGGGAGAGCGACCCATCCGCGCGGGTGTACCACAGGGAAGCTGCCTATCGCCTGCGCTCTACGCGCTGTTCACCGACGACATTCCCACTACCCCCGAGTCTCTCCTCGCGCTGTACGCCGACGACGCCGCCTTCATAGTGACATCCATCGGCAAGAAGCACGCAGCGCTGAAAATGCAGCGGCAACTCGACACCCTACCAAAGTGGCTGGACGACTGGAGATTGTCGGTGAATGTGCGCAAAACGCAGGCGATCTACTTCGGACAACGTCACTGCCCTCCCAAATTGCACCTGCGCGACTCCCCGATCGAGTGGTCTACCACCGTCACCTACCTGGGGGTGAACATCGACCGGCGTCTAAGTTTTAACACCCACATCAAGGGGGTCTGCAACAAGACCAGGGTGGCCAGGCACCTCCTTCGCCCAGCGTTGACGGGAAGACTCCCTCTCCAAATAAAGACGGCCATATACAAGACCTACATCCGACCGCGACTTACGTACGCAGCGCCGGCATGGTATGTCTACGCATCTGCGTCGAATAAGAAGAAACTCAGCGCGCAACAACACCTTACACTGCGCACCATCGCCGGCGCGCATAAATACGTAAGGAACGCCACCTTGGAGAGGGACCTAAAGATCCCTCCGCTGAACGAATTCATCGGCAGCCTCGCAGCGAAGATGTTCGCGCGTGCGGACGCATCGGGCTGGGACCACCTAAAGGGAATAGCGCCCCTGCACGCGCGACCTCCGGACCACAAGCCCTACGCACGCGAACTGATAGCTCGCGTGCAAGAAAACCCAGAGGAAGACGTCATGGACACATGAAGACCCCTCCCCCCTCTGATGAGGGTTACAATGCCGTCCCGATCATTCAAACGCTGGCAGTTTGCTGGGCCTCCCCCCACGGGGTCTCACCCGGCAGGCGAAGACCGCGCAGAGTGAACGGGGCGGCACGTTAAGAACCAGGTTCACCCCAACGACCCGCTCATATTAATGAGCGGCGGATAGAAACCACCTGAGAGGGGTAAAAAACCCCGGACAGGTTTCCCCGGCTCCCCCTAGGGGAGAGCATGAGAAGAAGACGGACAATTTCTATTTCTATTCGCAGGTAATAATGACAACACGTAAAGAATGCTTTATTTAACTTACACTATAGGTATCTTAAATCTATGTAAAATCTATATAAAATAACAGTATACAAAAACGATTAAAACTAGGGACTTAACAACTATAAATTATCTCTATATACAAATAATGTCGCGAACATAATCTCCCGCCGCAGCTCTCGTAGCTGGAGTCAACTCGTGTTCGCGTCGCTCGATGTCGATGTGGGCAGTATGATTAACTTCTTAGTGGGTCGCCGTAGGATGCCCTTGTTCGTCCGCACGTCGACTGCTCGAATCTCGCCGTCTGGTCCAGGGTAGGTCGCCACCACCACGTGTTGCGAGGCAAGGTCCCATCAGCTATTAGGACCAGGTCGTCCATTTTGATGGCTCCGTGTGTAGCTCGGGGCTCCCGCCGGTGTTGCAACTCGGGTAGGTACTCCTTCACCCACCGGTTCCAGAAGCAGTCAGCTAGCCTCTGGCTGGCACGCCACTCCCTGTGTCCCGCCGCGTCGCTCTCCGTGAAGCTGCCTGGCAGTGGGA